ACTAGTTAGTGCCTCAGTGTCTGCTAATAAATGTGAATTGATTAATTTCTAGTTGTCCTATGAACTGTAATTGGCCAAAACATATGACCGATGTTACATGTGACTCTTAACATGAAATACTATGAAGCGGTTGTTTCATCCCGTTTCACAGCACTGTTGTCTGATGTGCTTCAGACAGGTAGGTGGGGCTTGTTTTCTAACCATCTTACTTCCAAAGTCTAGTTGTGCATCTTACTGGATTTTCTCACACACTGCACTCTTCTAGAACTCATTGTGACTGTGTTTCAGATGATGTGAGTGACTGCGTGACTGAGTTTCATTGTGTGATGTTTTTCATCAAAGCTGCTCAAAGTAGGTTATTGGTTTCTTTTGCCACCGTAGCTAGATCACACGATCTTCTTGTTGAATTCTAATCAAAGCTCATTTTTTCTCTCTTTTATTTTCAGATATTTGTATCTGCTGTTCTCCAGTGACGACCTTTTACCTTTAGACCACTGGGTATTCAATACAGAGGCTCATCCTCTGCCCGTGTTACATTTAGCCAACACCACACTTTCAGGAAATCCTGCTGTTCGATGAAAAGCAGCTCCAGAAAGACCATTCTCCCCTGTGTTTTGTTTACATGGACCACTACAGAAATCAGTCTGGAGGGGGGGCTTTTGGAAACCTGGACCTCATAAGTCAACATGGCAGGGTGAAACATGACTGTGCCCCACAAGACTTTTCAACTTGTAGATATCTCAGCTTTGAAATGATTCCATTTTATACCTGACCAAAACATATTCTGGTATGTGTAGGACAGCGACCTGACACGCTTTGTTTCATAAGGAGATGGTCACATGGGAAATCATGCCTGTTACTACTGTACTGTTTTTAGAGTCCTGGCATCCGGAGACCAGACTGCCTGAGAATAAGCCAAGAATGCGGAGCACCTTGTGGAAGTGAGGGATGGCCTTTGGAACTGATTATACATTTGTTCCTTCCAAAGTGGAGCAGCTTTCGAATCAGATATTTACTCATCATTTATCCCTTTTTTCTCCATTTTTAATGGAAGGAACTAAAACAAACAACAAAAGAGCAGTGGAACCGCATCAAGAGCAAGAGGTCTGGAAAAGACAACAAAAGTACCTGTTCCTGTCTCAGTTTTCAGGTTCCCCGTTGGACGATCAGACTGGCAACCATTTCAACTCTCAATCTATTCCATTGAAATCTCTTGGTTAAATTTGATTTTCTCTGGGGGCATGATCTCACAAAGAATACTCTTCAAGTCTTCGTCTCCGTACGGAATCATTGAAACTGTTGTTTATCGAAACCACTACTCATGAGCCTGGGTTTGGGATTTCGTGCATGTTGATCAGTCTAGTGTTGGTAGCATGACGACAAGTGGGGGAAATGCTGCAGTTTGTTGCCTTGAAACCCGTTTTGAGAGAAAGCCTTGGTTTTGTTGGTAGGAGATTTTTTTTCCCCAAACCAGCAAATCTACCAAGTGAATTTTATCCACTTTAACCTTCTTACAAATTTAGTAAAATCCCTCAACTTACAACTCTCTGTGGCTTGGCACAATTCGCTATACTATTATGCAGCTCCAAATTTACCTTGATGAGCCAAATTACTTTTAGAACCTTATGAAATCAAAAACAAAATACAGTGAAACTTGCTCATACATTCTATCTGAAATGGGAACAGGGGGATCCTGTATTATCTCGTCAGATGAGCGAACTTTTCACAAATATTTTATGTCAAAAATAAAATTCAGCTTTTATTTTCTCCAAGGATATTTATAGAAATCCAAAGAATTAATCAGAACCACTTCAGAGTAATTTTTAGTGATAAAAGTGTGGTATAATTAATCATATTAACTAAATTTGGGATATATCTAAGGGAGTTTCTCTTACCATAAATAGATTTTGCAGTGATATTTATTTTTAAAGAAATTACTATTTCTTCATATTTGGGGGGAGGAACTGAAATTTTATCAAGAACTGTATTGTAAGATAAATATGATTGTAAGTTTTCTGTCCCTTGAATTTGTGTCACAGTGCAAGACACTTTTTCTTCTTTACGTTTAATACAAACAGCTTCCATTGACAATAAAAGTTGGGAGCATTATAATCAGTCTAGTATTTACTCTGAACTTGAAGATTTCATGAAACAGTGTTTGTGCAAGAAGCCCACCTTGGAATTCTGAAGGTTTATTTTCTTATTTTGATAGCTTTTCTTTTTCATCTCTTATTAGCACGTAGCAGATTTTAATTGGAGAAAAGATTTAATAAATTAACATAATTAAGTATTTTCTAAGGGATCATCTTAACGCCACAAATAGTCCTCACAGTTCAGCAGTCGATCCATAAATGATAACCAAACCCGAGATTTTTCAGGATACATAGGAAATAAGGATGTGGAGCCAGTTGCATTATTTAAGTTTTTAAGAGAGTTAAATTTTAGCACACATTTTGAAATTATAGTATCTTTTACTACTTGAAAAGTTAAAATTTTGAAATGAGAAGGGGAGATGACTAACCTGAGAAAGGGAGAATATTTGGTTCTCAAAAAAACGTTAGCCTTCCTCCTAAAAGTAGCATAAGCCCACTTAGGAGTCACTAAAAAACGTGAACCCCTCGAGGTGGCGAAGACCCAGAGCCGCTGAGTAGATGGCAGCGAGTCTGCCCGTATCCTATTCAGAAGAGGGCAGAGTAAGGGGCCTTCTTGGTCTCCCAGGAGCTTCTCAAGGAAAGAGAAGACAGAGCCTCCGCCCCCTCGGCTGAATGGGGCTTAAGAGAAGGCAGAGAGGTGCGTGAGTATGGCCCTTTCTGTGCAAGCGAAGAATCCGGAGAGGGGCAGGGGAAGCTTCGGTCGTCTTCACTGCCTGCTCCCTCCCTGTGATGGTAAGACTAGAGCTGACCCCAACGCTTCCATTGTTTTCTTCTCTGGATACCAAAGGCAATTAAAGTCAGCTACAAAGGACTTGCCAGTGTCACGTTTTGTTTTTATTACAGATTTTTAAACTTATTTCCTCCAGAATCCATCCTTGTCCTGTATTCTACTTACTTTCCAAGAGTATTTACTTTCTTCCATCCCTCACAGTCCTTTGCATTTCGTAGACCTTATTCCTCAGGTTAAAATACTCATTACACGTCTAAGACTCTCTGCAAAGAACCTAGAGATGCTCCTTTCCAGATGCCTCTTCAGAGAGCTGACACCCCGCTTTGTGCCTTTGGCGTAAGTGTGCTGAGTAGGCTGATCAGTTGGCGCAGGAAAGAAAAAAATGGAGGTTGAACACCCCTCTCCCTTCTGCGTTTCTCTTTTAGAATTTTAGACTCATGCTTTTTTGTTGAAACTGGTATAAAATTGATAAAACCAAGCGAGTGCGGTCCTAACCAAGAAGTCTCAGCGCAGAAAAACAAGGCCCCGGTCAGAGGGTTCGTTCTTTCTGTCCTGTGTCTGGCACCACCTTACTTCTGTCTTTGAGCAGATGTTTATATGTAAATGTAAAATCTGGATATTGGAGGAGTGTGTTCCTTTTGTGGAATGTTGATCCTCATTCTCCGTGATGTCATCTGAGGCACCCCAGGGTGCCACGCGGTTTGGAATCGGGACCATCAGCTTCTCCTCTCCACTCTCCATTGCCAAAGTCTTTGTCAGAGCCACAGATCTGTCGATAAAAGATTGCGCTTGCCATTCTCATTATGCAGCTTCCCCTCAAGCCTGGATTTCCATGAATGAATGCGTGAGCGAGTGAGAGAATGAGTGTGCAAACACGGAGTACCTTGTAGGTGCCGAGCTTTACGCCAGGCACTCGCGAGCGTCAGACGTTTTGTGATTCCAGTGGCATGCATACCATTTTCACTGTTTCCCAGTCTGAATCATATTACAAAATCCCTAATTTTATATGTCACTTAAAGAGGAAAAGAAATGGTTTATAACATATTTTAAGCAACGTGTTACTATATAATACTAAGAGCTATAATTGTAGCTAATAACTAAAGCCTCTTGGAAAATGTTAAAGACATACTTGACTTCTGATGCAACTTTGACTAAAATATTTACTTTCGAAGTAAATTAAAGCATACTTCTTTTGCTATATCGCCCTAATTATATAATTAAAAATTAATGTTTTATAGAAACGCTGGTTATTTTATATTCACGTACATTTTGTCATGGGTCAAATTTGCAGTTGTACGTTGTTTTTGCTCTGCCAGTGGCCCTACTGATGGTCCCATGCTGTTGAATATAAAGAAAAATATACTAAAATATTTCTAAGTTCCAAATAATAGTTTCTAGTAATTGTGTTTTGAATTCTTATTTTCCTTTAGGTCTCCTTCCCTTCAAATTGGCTAACTCCTATCTTATCCACCCTTTTCATAGATACATACATAAACACAATTATACACAGATTTTTAATATGGTCTGTGTTTGTTGACAAACACTAGCAAACACAGTTGTTAGTAAGTTTTGGCTACACACATTCTAAGCAGAATAGCTGAATAACCAGATTATGATCTGGAGGTATTTTAGTGTACTTATTCTGGCTCAAGAACACAGGTGAAGATGATTTTCTGTTAACTTCAGCCCATTCAGATCACGATGGAAACATTCTTGGACCTCTCACGGGTCAGCAAGCTTTTCCGTAAAGGGCCAGATGGTATTTTGGGCTTTCTACACCGTACGGTCTCTCTCTACTTCTCAGCTCTGCCATTGGAACGTATGAAAGTTGGTGGAGACATTCTGTAAGTGAAGGAGTATAGCTGCCTTCCAATCACACTTGATTGACAAAAGCATGGGGAGCTGGGTTTGGCCCCCGGGTCGCAATCGTTAACCCTTGATCCCACGTTTAATTTCTGTAAGACCCTGTAATCCTCGATCTGCATCTTTTCTCTGTGTTTGGGTTACGCAATTCATTTTTGAAGCAGAAAGGTGTGTGTCTGTACGATTGTAAACCGAACGCTGTATGTTTTGCTGTCTTGAAAATAGATGCACTCTTCTGGACTCCGTTCAGGTCGCAGTATGATATGACTGTCATGAAAGAGGCAATTTCGTTTGTTTTGGGGGCATGGCACTTGCCTTGCCTTGTCATTGAATGCCACGGTTCCAGACCCCATGTAAAAAGGAGGGTCTCTGTGGTGTCCAAATATTCTGTTCTCTCCAAGTTCTGCCTGCTCGTTGACCTTTGGACCAGGACTCTGGATTGCTGGTGCTGGAAAAACTCCTCCACTTGAGTACTTTTAGATCCCTCCAATGAGAATAAGCTAGAGTCTGACCTCTGTGCTGCAAAAACCAATCTCTTGAAAAATTTTAAGCAACAGAAAATGGGTTACGTGCCTCATTTGCCGTTTGGCAGCCACTATCCCTCTTTTAGACTGCAGGATGGTACCGCTTCTAAATCTGAGGAGTGTAGACAAAAGATCTGTCCAAGAGGAGAGTTCTCTTGTACTGCATAACTTGACTCAAATCCTGTACAAGCTAGTACCATTATTTCAGAGTGTCGATATGCATCATTTCTAAATTAAGGCGTCCCTCAGTCTCAGCCTTACATTTCCAACGTGTAACAGCTCATCTCCTAAACTTGGCTCGGGCCCAGT